TGTCCCCCAGGATCCTCCATGCTGTGTAATGCTTTATGAGTTGACTGTTTTTTCAATGCTGCATAATATTCCATTGTCTTTACAATGTTTTTCTACCAATTAATTCTTCTTGATGGACTTTCCTAATCCATCTTTTGATTTACTGGCTGCTGTTTCCAAGAGTGTTAACTGTGGTCAAGAGCATCCATCTCTTTGCTATTGTGAATAATGCAGCAATAAATATAGGTGTGTACCCAATGCTGCAGAAGGTCAGGGACTGCAGCCTTCAATACAGATTGAAGCTCAACATCAAGAAAACAAAGATTCTCACCACTGGGCCAATTGGTAGTATCAGTGTGGATGGCGAAGAGATTGAGATAGTTAACAGTTTTAGTTTACTTGGTTCCCATAGTCAACACGCTTGGTAACAGCAGCCAGGAAATCAGGAGACTAATTGCATTGGGAAAGTCAGCTGTGAGGGACTTCTCAAGAGTACTGAAGAGCAACGACATCATGCTGGAGACTAAGGTGTGCCTGATCTGGGCTATAGTCTTCACAATTATGTGCTATGCATCAGAGAGTTGGACAGTGACTAGGAATGCTAGAAAGATAATTGATGCCTTTGAGCTGTGGTGCTGGAGAAGAGTATGAAATATACCATGGACTGCTGGGAGAACAAACAGGTTTGTCCTAGAGAGGGTGAAATCAGAATGCTCCCTGGAGTCAAGAATTCTGGGGCTTCGTCTGACATACCTTGGGCATATTGAAAGGAGGGACTGGTCCTTGGAGAGGGACATCATGTGTGGGAGAGTGGAGGGACGGAGAGGAAGACCCTCAAAGAGATGGATCGATTCTGTGATTAGAGTGGTGGGAATGAGTGCGTTTGAGTTGGCTAGGTTGACACAAGACAGAGTGGCATTTAGAGCTCTTGTACATAGGGTCGCTATGAGTCACAAGCAACTCGATGGCACATAACAACAACAACACACATCTGTTTGAGTCACGACTCTGGTTTCTTTAGGGCATATTCCAATAGTGTAACTCCTGGGTCAAATGGTATATCTATTTCCAATTTTCAAAAAAAAGCAACAAATTACCTTCATTTTGGCTGAACCATTTTACACTCCCACCAGCAGTGGATAAGACTTTCAATTTTCTCCACAACCCTGCATTTGTTGTTTGAACCTTTTTTTCATTTTAAACCATGTAATGTTCCCTCACTATGTTTGCAAAACAGCTTCTTCATCTAGGTATGGGTTTCATATAAGCACAATTAATTAAGTGTTCTAGTATTCCCAATTCTTCCCTATATTAGGCATAATTTTTTATGTATTATTGTTGTAATGTGCTGTCGAGTTGTGACTGTTGTGCTGTGACTCATAGTGACCCTATGCACAATTGCTCTGAACCCAGTTCTATCCTGAGCTAATCTCACTGTCACCAACATACCTGCCTAGATTACCCCCATCACTTGTGTCACTCCATCTTATTTCAAGGTCGTCTTCTCCTGTGCTGTCACTCCACCCATCCAAGAATGATATTCTTCTCAAAAGACAGGTCTTTCCTGGTAACCTGCCCAAAACATCTGAGACAGACTTTCAAAATCCTTGCCTCTGATGAGAAACTTGGTTTCACCTCTCTTGGACACACCTGTTTATTCTTTTGGCAGTCCATGGTATGTTCAATACTCTTCACCAGCACCACAAAACAAAGGCATCAATTATTCTTCTGTCATCCTCATTCACTGTCCTGCTTTCTGGTGCATCGCAAATAAATGCAAAGATCACGTGTGGACAGGGCACACCTTTATCTCTAGATGGACATCTTTTCATTTCAGTAGTCTAGAGAGGTCCCTGACAGCAGACTTTCCTAATCCATCTTTTGATTTACTGGCTGCTGTTTCCAAGAGTGTTAACTGTGGTCAAGAGCAAGCTGAAATTGTTAACAAACTCAATTTCTTCTCCATTGAGAATAGTATTGCCAATTGACTCAGTAGTAAAAATCTTTGTTTTATTGATGTTGATCTTCAATCCATACTGAAGATTGCAATCTTTGAACCTCTGCAGCAGATGCTTCAGCTCCTCCTCAGTTTCAGCAAGCAAAGTTGTATCATCTGCATAACACAGGTTGTTGATGAGTCCTCCTCCAATTCTGATACCACATTCATCCTCATTAAAGACCAGCCTCCCGAATGATCTGTTCTGCATCTAGAATAAAGAGGTATGGAGATAGGATGCATCCTTGACACACTCCTTTCCTGATTTTAAACCATGCAGTGTTTCTTTGCTCTGTTCTAATCAGACTGCCTCCTGGTCCAAGAATAGATTTTTCATGAGCACCATCAGGTGTTCTGAGATTCCCGTTCTTCTGAAGGTTTGCCACAATTTGCTGTGATGCACAAAGTCAAATACCTTTGTGTAGTCAATGAAAAATGCATAGACATTCTTCTGGTTTTGGCCAAGATACATTTGACATTGGTAATAAGGTCTCTACTGCCAAAGCCTTTTCTAATAAACCCAGCCTACACATCTGGTAGTTCTCTGCTGATGTACTGTTAGAGTCCTTTCTTTATAACCTTCTGCAAGCTTACATGTGATAATTAGTGATATTATTCAATAATTTCCATACTATGAATGACTGGAACAGCACATCAACAGAGAACTGCCAGAAGGACAAGCTGGGTTGAGAAGGGGTTGTGGTACTAGGGATATTGTAGCTGATGTTAGATGGATCTTAGCTGAAAGCAGGGAATACCAGAAGAATTTATCACTGTGTTTCATTGATTATGCAAAGGTATTTGACTATGTGGATCATAACAAACTGTAGCTGACTCTGAAAAGAATGGGGATCCCGGAACACTTGATCATGCTAAAGCGAAATCTATACTTGGCCCAAGAGGCAGTCGTCAGAACAGAGCAGGGGAACACTGCATGGTTCAAAATTGTGAAGGGTGTACACCAGGGTTGTGTCCTATCTCCATACCTTTTCAACCTGTATGCAGAGCAGATTATCCGAAAGGCTGGGCTTTATGGGGAGAAGTGTGGCATCAGGATTGGTGGAAGATCTATTAACAATCTGCTTTAGGCAGATAACACAACCCTGCTTGCTGAAACTGAGGAGGACCTCATGCACTTGCTGCAGAGGGTCAAGGACTGCAGCCTTCAGTATAGATTGAGGCTCAATGTCAAGAAGACAAAGATTCTCACCACTGGACTAATTGTCAGCATCAGGATGGACGGTGAAAAGATTGAGATTGTTAACTTTAATTTGCTTGGCTCCACGGTCAACACTCTTGGCACCAGCAGCCAGGAAATAAAAAACCGTACTTTAATGGAAAAGACTGCTGTTAGGGACCTCTTCAGGGTACTGAAGAGCAATGGTGTCACTCTGGATACTAAGGTGCATCTGATACAGGCTATGGTCTTTGCAATCACTTGTTATGCATCAGAGAGTTAGACAATGACTAAGGGGGATAGAAAGAGAATTGATGCCTTTGAGCTGCAGTGCTGGAGAGGAGTATTGAATATACCATGGACTGCCAAGAAAGCAAACAGATTCACCCTGGAGAGGGTTAAACCAGGCTGCTCCTCGGAGGCAAGGATTCTGGGGCTACGTCTGACATACTCTGGACATACTGTAAGGAGGGGCAGGTCCTTGGAGAGGGATATCATGCTTGGGAGAGTGGAGGAGGGATGGCGTAGGGGGGAAGACCCTCTGAGGGGGATTGATTCAATGACTGGGGTAATGGGGATGGGTGTGTCAGAGGCAGTGCGATTGGCACAGGATAGAGGAGGGTTTAGGGCTGTTATATATAGGGTCGCTATGAGTCTCAGGGGACTCGACAGCACATAACAACAGCAACATGAAGGGTCGCCCTTTTTTGGAATGGGAATAAATATGGATCTCTTTCAGCTGACACTGAGATTTCTTGGCACAATTTAGTAAGTACATTCAGGGCACCATATGTTTAGTGAAATATGTCAATTATATTCCATCAATTCCTGGGCCCTTATTTTTTGCCAATTCCTTGAGAGCTGCTTGAACTTCCTCCTTCATTACCATTGCCTCTTGGTAATATGCTGTTTCATGAAATTCTTCCATGTCAGCCACCTTTTGCTACAGTGACTCTGTACTCCTTCCAGCATGATAAATTTCTAAATTAGCAGCAAACACCTAACAACAACAAACACTAGGATTTGGAGGCTGGCTGACCTAGGTTCAAATGTCATCTCTCCCATGAACTAGGTATTAAACTTATACTTCTATAAACAGTTGTTGTTGTGTACCATCAAGTGAGAAATTACTCATAGCTGACCCTGCAGTAGGTTTTGAGAGGCAATAAATCACATTAGATGAGACTGCCCATCCTTCTTTTAGGAGCAGCAGCTGGTGAATTCAAACCACATGCCTTTGGGATTGCAGCACAGATCCTTACCATTAGAGCTCCAAAGCTCTATTACAAAATGAACCTTTAGGAATTGAAGAGACAAAGTATGTAAAGCATAGGGTTTAGCGGCATATTGTAAAAATAAGGGCTTAATATATGTTAATTTTTAGTAATACTTTAAATTATTTCTTCCACATTCTCATGTTAAGAATTGACATAATAAGGTATAATCATCAGGCCTATTATAAAAATTAAATTCTATTCATTGCACCTAAATGAGAAAAGTATTCCAATGAGATGTGGGAGCATGGCTCTCTTACCACTTAAGTATCTATCCCACAAACTTAGTGAATGCAAGACTCAAGTTCTTGCTTCGAAAGAAATATGGAAGGGACAAAAATTCATCAGGAGATGGTCAAGCATGAATTTAAGTACAAATATTAAATGCCAATTATCTAGTATATAGCAACAAACACATTTAGACTATTAGTAAGACTTACCACAAAGATAAACACAAAATATATTAAAGAAGATATGGAAGTAGTTGAAAATAAAGCTATTATAAAAAGTATTTTAAAGCATACTAAAAGTATATTAGCACTAAATATCTTTGGCAAATTTTTTAAAAACCTACTTTTGCTTAAGAGCTTGTTTCCGACTCCTCTGACGGTGTGAGGCTGACACAAAATCCATAAAAATTCCACATACTGGTGCTCTGAAAGGGGAGTTATTTGCATCTGTAGAAAATTAAAAAGTAATTTTTTGTGAAATATTGAAATATTTCTTTCAAAAAAATGAGGAATAATCTAATTACAAGATCTTAGTAATTATATCAAACTAACTCTGCTTTTTCATAAAAAGTATTTGCAATAACTAAATCTTTCAAAATTCAATGTACAGAATTCAATCATGTGATCTCCAGTATCATTTCTATTGTCAGGTTTGTGATTTCCAACTACCAGTCCTCATTGTTTGTACCCAATGTTTATGTTCCAGTCACCAACTACTATTCATGAATCCTGATTGAATGTTCAGTCAATTTCAGTTTGCAAAAGGTAGAAATAATCACTTTTCTCCTCTTTGGCTTTAGGTTCTGGTTTGCATATAAGCATTATAGTTGTACTAATGAGTCTTCTTTGTATGCATATGGGTTGTATTCTGTTATTCATAGCACAGCACTTGAGGATTGATCTTGAAATGTTCTATTGTAACAATGAATGCAATCTCATTCTTCCTTATTTTTTCTGTTCCTAGAATAAGTATATGATTGCCTGATGCAAATGATGAAGCAAAAGCATTGAAAAGATGATGGCAAAGGAAAGCTCAAGAAGACAAAGCGAAGTATCATGAAATATACCAAGAAAAAAAAAATCTGCCTGGAGTGAGAAAATCAAAAGGGCCGAACTCGCTCAGCATTTCTTAAG